GCAAGTAACAGCAAATCTTTTAACAATCTGACACACTTAATAACATTAATATGACAAGGAAAATGTGGTTTAAACGACAGATATCTCATCAGTTTGGCCGTCATTATACATGAGTTATAACTCAAATGACTTCTTTCTCTTTCTCTGCTTCACTTGCAGTCAGAGTGCATTAGTATGCGAGCCACTGAGTGCAAACTCAGAGTTTTCACATTATGAATATTTCCATTGCTGGATTTCTTTATCTGCTAGTGTCTGAGGGTTGTATCCCTGCTGAGGACAGCAACAGAATGCCAAATGATTGCAATATGCTGGAGATCCTGTATGTTGATATTATCTGTCAGGTATAATTCCTTTTACACCGGAAACTATAGTCGACTGAGAAAATCGACTGCTCAGCCGTCTGTGTGAACTTCAAAAGATGCAGCGTAAAAGTTAAAACAGCACTTGTCTGATTAAATCTCCCAGTTGCAGTTACAAATCTTAAATTTCCTGTGAAGTGAATGGATTAGATAACCCATGAAATTAGCACTAAACAACAACAAGAGCTGACGACTGTTGCAGGCTGTCAATTCCTCTTGCTACACAGCTAGTGGTTATTCAGTGTGCTCTAAGTGGAACTTTATTCAATGGCGAGGGAGCTGAATAAACATTTACATGCATCTCAGCTGTTAGCGATAAAGTTGACGATCAGACGCTCTCACAGACGCCCCGGTGTTGCTTTCACATGTGGATTTATATTCAGAACTGACAACAGTATAGATTTCTCAGCCTCTCTCCCATCAAATATACGCTCGGCTCTGACTAAGATCTAACACATCTCCCAACTCAGGGAGAAAACTCGCAGACATCCTTGACACACTGCTCAGTCCCTGCTGTTTTGGATTGACGATGCCGCACTGTGACAGAGAGAGAGAGAGCAAACTAATACTTGCCATTCAACCAGACTGGATAGCAGGAGACAAGTGATTGCACAGTTGACAGAGGTAATTCTGCACAGATAGGGGTTGGAAGATGAGGTGGTTTAGGATAAATAACAGAATAGAAATGCTGCGTGAGTGATAAATGCTCTATGACAGCATTCTGTCTTGCGGTGGGAAAAGATGCCATTCTAAATCAATGAATGACAATAACTACAGCAGTGACACTTTACAGAGGGAGGAGAGGTTTACAGAGGAACAGCTTTGCAAAAACTTTGTACAGTGGCAGGTGGATAATCGTCTCATTAAAGGAATAGTTTGACATTTTGTGAAATGTATTTATTTGCATTCTTGCCGAGAGATACACCGCTCTCATGTACGAGAAATATGAAGCAACAGCCAGCAGCTGGTTAGCTTAGCATAAAGACTGGAAACAGGGGGAAACAGTAAGCATGGCTCCGTCCAAAATACAGTATGCCTACAGAGCACCTCTGTTTTATCAAACTATTCCTTTAATGCGAGGGTTATCCAACTGAACTGTTTAAGAATATAAAATAATGTGCTGTTGTTTTTCTATACAGGTTTTTGCAAAGATATTAAACATATACAGTAACTTGAGCCTTCAGAGGTTGGGAGGATTTTATTACCTTTGGACAGAGCCATGCTAGCTGTTTCCCCCTGTTTCAAGTCTAGATGCTAAGCTAAGCTAACCTGCTGCTGGCTGTACTTTCGTATTTAATGTACAGATATTAATCTTCTCATCAAGAAAGCAAATCAGCATATACATCAGTAAATTTAAGTAGGGTGTCACTTCAGAAAAAGCCCAAAAGGAATGAAGAAAATATTCCACTTTATTGTAGATCAGTTTTGAAGGAGTCAAAACGTTTATGACCAAACCAAACACAGAGACTCCTGAAAACGAATCGTGGATATTAAAATACAGAGAGCAGAAGACAGAAAAGGACAACAGTACAAAGGCCGAGTGAATTTCGACAAACAACCAAGCAGTGTTGTGAGAAAATGTCATTTTGGCCCCGGTGGATTCCTATCTGTTGGGCTTCTGACATTCGGCGGGCATTTGAGCTCCCGTGTGAGAAACCTATTTTCAAAATGTGATTTCTTAAGCAAATACAGACACCACAAAATAAGTTATAGTGGCTCTAGCTGCTTGTGGATATACTCCTTACTTTCTCACGTTATTTTACCGTTCTTCTTTCTACTGACGTTCCCCGTCTCTCTCTGACTCACACTGTGGGAGAAATGAACACGGGGCAATCTACGCTGTATCTCACTGAGGCAATTTTATGGTGCCAAATGAATATTATCTTCACACTGATGGCGCCACAACAGCTATTTTCCTCCATGATGCACTCTAACAACTCAAGTCTACTTAAAAGCATCAATCTAATCTTCTGTCAACAGCTAGCAGCTCAGATTATCTAACTGACATCTAAAAAAGACCAGCTTCAAATCATCAGAGGCACAGAGGGAGTTATCCCAGTGGAAAGAGGAGGAAAACAATCTGTATACAGCCATGACCTAATAAAAAACAAATAGGAAGAAGTAGAAGAAATAGCTGCCTTTGTGACGTTAGTGAATGACATGGATTTTGCAAGCCTCAGCAGCTGGCTCTGACGCCTTAGCTCTTATTTAACACATACTCTTTGTGGGTTGCTTTAGGATACCTGCAAGACCAGGTCGCCCACGGAGTATAAATGGAGAGGGAGAGATGCTGCACTAAAAACCTGCTTTTCTCCCGGGAGAATACACTGGTCCCCAGGCAAGAGGACTGAGAGGGAGAGAGAGAGAGAGACAGAGAGAGAGAGAGAGAGAGAGAGAGAGAGAGAGAGAGAGAGAAATTGGCAAAGATGTGGAAAAAGGGGGACTAGAGAGAAAGAGAAAGCACATCCCTGACTTGTTCAACAGGCCGGTTCAGACACTGCAGCAGAAATGACATGTTGGAGAGATGGCCGTGGTCTCACTTATTGTTTTGCAGAATGAGTCAGTATGTGCGGCACAAGCAGGACATCTAGTGGTGATCCTGTAACCAGCAGGACACTACTATCACCCTGGACTGACAGTCTGTTTGTATACGTATATATTGGTATAAATGCTGCTGTCACAAAGGACCTTTGATTGAATGTTATTAATAAAGATTCCTGAATACCGTATGAATCTAAAAATGTCTGCAACCACCTAGATAAGCCATGTTTGTAAATGTGATGATGTCAGAGGCCTGATGGTGTCTTTCTTTTATTAAACTGTGCTGTCTTAAAAAAATAAATAAATGTATGCACACTGAACCAATTACTGCTTTTATCAGTTACAAGCAATCTCTGTGTTTTAAACCTCTGAGATGGAAAAATGACTCGAGAGCCAAAGTGTGATCAGATAAAATAATTTTTGCTTTGTATTTAGTCTTTTGACAAGCTGAACGGTAGTTTTATGCCATTAAGGGCTTGTTGTGTAGTCGCACTGAGCTTTAAATAAAGTACATCAAGTATCTGATTCACACAACTTCTTAGAGGCTTTTAAAAAGTGATCTACCTCTTGTGCTCAAATCCTTGTTTTTTTCGCTCTGAAATGCATCAGTACAACCTAAAAGTATACCAAGGTGTGTAGCTCATTAAAACTAGATATCCCTTTCATTTCAGTTCTCCAAACATCAGTCCTCATTTGGACGCGCAAACTGTCTGCAGGTCTAATCCATTAAGCAGCCTTGAGTCTCTCCCGGAGAGACCACAGCTGAAGAAGTTTCACCAACACTCCAGAAAGCCTGATGGGCCTTGAAGCTATAGCTTAAGCACTGGCTCACCACAGAGAGGGAGAGGATAAACATGTAGGTGGGGGCGGGGGGGGATTCATTCAGGGATTCTGATCAAAGTGGGAGTTCAGAAACCAGATACACCCGTACATTTAAATTCAAGAGATGGAAGGTAAGGGGGGAAGTCAACTGTTGAATTGTTGTTCAACAAAATACTAAACCCACAGCAGCTCCCCTGTAGAGGAACAGAGACCTGTTTGTCTGAGTAGAAATGTGAATAACCTACTCCTTCTTTACCACACTCGTTAAGCTAATGGGCGAGGTAAAATGACACACTCAAAAAGGCAGTAAGACATGTTTATTTTTTTCATGTTTTTTGAAAAATTCAGCAATCCATTAAAAAGGCTCATACTGGGTATTTTGCATGTTTACACCGTTTGCTACAAATTGCAGAAATGTAACATTTAAATTTGCGTTTGGTCGAACAGTTGCAAGCAGGGACAATTTGCAAAGCTCGCCTGGTGGTGCATTCAGGAACACTCTCTGAGGTCCTTGAACGTGCCAAGAGGACGAGTTTGAAAACAGTCCATCTTAATAAAAGTGTTATCGAACCATAACTACCTTCTCTTCACTGTGCTGAATCAGCTACTGTATCTCAAATTAGTTTCAAGCCTCAGCAAGCTGATCTTCGTACCGTTTTTTATATATCAATATCAATTTGTATAGCTATTGGGATGAACAATACACAATCCATTTGTATGGTAATTGTTCTCCAACAATTCTGAGGTCAAACTGATAATTATTGAAACTTAAGAGGAGAATCAACATTTCAACACTCTATAACTTACAATCCAAAGTGTTATATGTTTATATATATACACATGAAGGCTTTGTGTAAATGAACATTATCATTGAATGAGTCTATTAGAAGAAAATCCATTCATTGCATCTGAATATTTCCCTCCAGACTGACAATTCTCTGAAGTTACATAATTATTCTGCTTTATAGTGACTAAAAAGAGATAGAAACCGGCTGTGCCACAGTTCCCCGACTTCAGCATAAACATGCCTTTTATAGCTCAACACTCCCATTATTCTTACTCACTTCCTGCCAACGCACCCAATACTCAATAATGAATGACTCATGAGCCTCCGTTACTGCGCAGTAAAAGATCATTTCATTCAGAAAGACGCTTGCCTGTGAGGATGTTTTGTTTCTAATATTCCAAATTGTTTTAATATATATATATATATATATATATATATTACATATATATATATATACACACTCAAGATCAATATCAATCCAGTTCTTTCTTTTCACACCAAATGAGTTGCTCAGACCACTCGAGTCTTCGCTGGCCTTCCCCTACGTTTCACTGAGCTCTTAGCGCTGCTGTCCCTCTTTTTCTTTGCTTCTTCTTCTTCTGGGTCAAAATCAGTGTCACTGTCATTTTTTGGTCTTCCTCTTGACCTCGCTGTGCTCTTCCTCACCGTCTCCTTCTCCTCTTCTTCTTCCTCCTCCTCCTCCTCCTCCTCCTCCTCTTCTTCTTCTTCTGCAGATTCAAAGGACGTGTCGCTCTCTGATTGCTCGTCCTCACTTTCCTCATCGCTGGAACCGGTTTTCCGCACCTTTGATTTTGCAGTCTTAGCGTTTGAACGCTTGCCTTTTTTGGGCCCAGCCGGAGCCAAGCTGCCTGCTGCGTTCCTCTTCGGCCTTCCTCTCGGCCTACCCGTGTTCCTCTTTCTACTTTTCCGCACATCTGTTCTCTCCTTCTGCGCCTCCTCTTCCGCGTCTCGACCTTCTTCTGCACAGTCAAGGTCGCAGTCTGTGCCTTTCTTATTCCCGCTGTCCTCAGCGTCGCTCGCCCTTTCATCTATCTCACCCTTCCTCCGCTTACGTCCGGAGCCCGACGAGTGGTAACGCTGGACGTGAATCTTCAGGCTCACGTTGTGATTGTAGCTTTTGTCACAATGCGGACACTTATAAGGTCTCTCCCCCGTGTGCAGGCGCATGTGGGATTTCAGGTGGCTGGTCTGGTTGAAGCCGCGTTGGCACACTGAACACTGGTACGGTTTCAAACCCGTGTGCACGACAGAGTGCCTCCGAAGATGATGCACGTCTTTAAATTCAATCCCACAAACCCCGCATTTGTACTCCTTCGGGGTTCTGTGATTTGCCAGGTGGATCCTGCGTTTCTTACTGGTGGTGAACGTCTCCGGACAGTCGGGACACTTATACGGATCTCTGTTATCCTGATGGGTCTGCTCATGTTTGAGTTTGTCCACCCTGGTTTTGAAGGTGACATAACAGTACTTACAAGGGTGGTCGTAGGTTTCATCGTGGATCCTGCTGTGATTTTTCAGAGACGTCTCCGTGACGCATCTTTTGCCGCATATGTTGCAGGAGAAGGGCTTTATTTTGTGCTCGCACATGTGCCGCTTCAGAATGGTGAAAAAGCTTCCGCACTCGGTGCACAGCTCGTTAATTTTGAGGCCGCACGGGGAATCAAAATCGTCCTCCTCTTCGCCTTCGACTTCCGTTTCCTCGTCAGACTCCTTCATGAGCTCTTCGGCCAGCAAGAAATCCTCTGTTGGATTCCATTCCCCATCCGAGCTCACCGCGCCGTCATCGCCTTCCTCTCCTTCATCTGACGGATCGCTTTCTTCATCGCTGAAAGTAACAATCTCAGAGAACGCCGAGCTGCTGGGGTTGTCACCTGTCGACACTTCCTGTGAACAATATTAATAAAACAACTTGGGTAAAGCTTTTAGAAGTCTACACAGCACACATTGTTGAAGCCAGATTAACAAAAATAAGACCCCATCTGCAAAAAGTCCAGGCAGTTTTCTAACTATTAGATAATACTACATCATAATACAGCTCAGCCTTTCTCTTTTCATTTTAGGATGCAAAACGTAACCCAAAATAATGTCCTTGTCCTTTGAGGATGAGAAGGTTCTGATGTCATGATACTACAGTCAGAATGTCTGAATACGTTGTAGCACGTCTGACTATTAGAGTCCTACCTGCTGGCTCTCTGGAGTTACTACTTCTACTTCTGTCAGGTGCTGATCCTCAGCTGTTGGGACGCTGGCATCGACTTGGCTTTTCCACTGGTTTCTGTAGTCACACTGAAGACACTGCTGGTTCAAGACGATGAGCACACCACAGGTGACCTTCTCCATCTGCAGTTTACACCCACAGGACGGGCACTTGCGGCGGAACAACTGGAAGAGGCAGCTTTCATTCACAACATGCTTTCCTTTGATCTGTAGAAGTGCAGCTCTGGAAAATCAGTTAAAACGAAGATTTCAAAAGCCAACCTAATGTCAACTGTCCAGAATAATAAGCACAACTGTTGTGTACAAGTGTAACTCACTTCTCCTTGTTCAAATCAATATGCATGGATTTTTGTTGCACCTGGTCAGATCCAAACATGACGGCATCTGAAGCATCAGGCGAATTTGGCACAGAGGCAACACTTGACACGGGACTTGCTTGTGGACCTACAAATGTGACGGTGTAGAGAAAGTTTACCCTCTTCATGTATGTATATATATATATATATATATATATATATATATATATATATTTATATATATATATATATATATATTTATTTATAAGTGTGTGCAATTTGTAGAGGTTCTTACCTGTTAAAGTATGTATATCTGATTTTTCAGAGGACGTTGGACTATTGAGGTCTTCACACTGATGAGCAGAATCAGTGGTTTCCAGAGGCTCCTACACGAATGACAACAGTAGAAGCTTGTACCTCTTGTACTTAAACAAAGGCTGCATGCGACACGCTAAAAATGTGTTTCAAAGCATCTTACAGAAAGAGTACATTTTCAATGCGGTCAAAAAAAAAAAAAAAAGAGTTGTCTCTCCCACTTACCTCACACAAAGGACACACCTGTATTTACAGGGCGGTCTATCGGCAATCAAAGGAAAGTGACGCGGCCTCATCGTTAAAGAAAGTCGACTTAATAAAATAAAAAGACTGGCTCATTTAATCACTATATTCAAACTGAGTATTTATTTTCGGGTGATGTCATAAAATGCTACAACAGACATTTGAAGCTACAGCCCAAGTAAAAAAAACAACGCGGCTTGTTTCTTCTTCTGGAGCGAGCGGGGAGCGATTTGAGTGGAGCGAGGTGAAATCGGAGTTTAGCGCAAAGCGATATCGAGCGGAGGGAAAATCCTCACCACTCCGCTCCTCTCACATGCACTCAAAGTGTGTGCTTAATAACTGCATGGTGGACGGTTACATTAGCCTGTAGATGTGTGCAGTGGGATGACACAGCCTCTCAATACGTTCTCATCATACTCTGTGTGTGACCACAACAGCACTGCAACGGTGAGTAAATGTGCTGTCAAGCACCTGTCAGTACAAGCAGCATTTAAAGGGACAGTTCACCCCAAAATCAAAAATACAGATTTTTCCTCTTACCTGTAGTGCTATTCATCAACGTAGATCAGTGGTTCTAAAACCTATTCTTTAATAATGTTCACAGTTAGTGTTATAATGATAATAACTGATAACCAAAGCATAGCGGCAGTCTACGTAACACTATATCATGATATAACTCAGTCTCTCTCTTTGATCAGAGGATGCAAACGAAACGCAAAATAATGTCCTTGTCCTTTGAGGATGAGAAGGTTCTGATGTCATGATACTACAGTCAGAATGTCTGAATACGTTGTAGCACGTCTGAATATTAGAGTCCTACCTGCTGGCTCTCTGGAGTTACTACTTCTACTTCTGCCAGGTGCTGATCCTCAGCTGTTGGGACGCTGGCATCGACTTGGCTTTTCCACTGGTTTCTGTAGTCACACTGAAGACACTGCTGGTTCAAGACGATGAGCACACCACAGGTGACCTTCTCCATCTGCAGTTTACACCCACAGGACGGGCACTTGCGGCGGAACAACTGGAAGAGGCAGCTTTCATTCACAACATGCTTTCCTTTGATCTGTAGAAGTGCAGCTCTGGAAAATCAGTTAAAATTAAGATTTCAAAAGCCAACCTAATGTCAACTGTCCAGAATAATAAGCACAACTGTAAAAGTGTAACTCACTTCTCCTTGTTCAAATCAATATGCATGGTGTTTTGTTGCACCTGGTCAGATCCAAACATGATGGCATCTGAAGCATTTAAACCTATAAATGTAAATATAAAGAAAGTTTACCCTCTTCAGATTTATATACATATATATACGCAATACGTTGAGGTTCTTACCTCTTAAAGTATGTCTTGAATTTTCAGAGGAAGTTGGACTATTGAGGTCATCACACTGAGAAGCAGCTTCTGTGGTTTCCACAGGCTCCTACACACACGACAAAAGTAGAAGCTTGTAGTTAAACAAAAGCTATAAAACAAGGAATCTCTGTCTGTCTGTGTGTCCTTCACATATCTCGGGAATCGTTCATCCGATCTACCTCAACCTTGACAGGTGTATTGCTGGGAACCCAAGGACATGCCGTGTTGAATTTGGTACAATTTGGGCACACGACGTGTGACTAAATAAATGAAGAAACTTAGAAGAAACAAGCGAGCAGCGGCGGGGCTTCGGGGCTCTGCAGACTGAGTCGAGCACGGCGTCTGCAGCGAGCCTTTTTGACTGCTGTTCACTTTTGCAGCTGGATGATGTCACCAGTGTTACTAAATGTGAGCAGCCACACCTTCAGTGATTTGATGCCCCGTGCAATCACCGACTAGCTTGACTTGTCCCCCTTTCTCTAACTACCTTGCCTAACTGTTAAGTCTGCCACTGGTGTTTTTTCCCGTGAACCAGAATGCATTTCGACCGTGTGACTGACCGCAAGGAGCTGCTATACTTGGGTATCTTACACAACTATGTCATGGCAGGTAAATCTCTGAGGAAGCAGCAGAACCACTCGCCAAGCATTTGGCCTCTTCCAAACCAGCATGTTCTGAACGGGCACTACACTAGCCCACTAAAACGGTGTTTCTGAGCACCTTAGAGTACCATACATATGTTTTGACTTAAAATAAATGACAGCTCTCTGTGTGCACGGACGAGATAATGTGCATATTTAACGACTGCATGGTGAATGGAGGTAGGAAGAATCCAAAGACAGAGAACAGTCTTGATTAAGTGAAGTAAACGGAGACGATTTCAACAAACAGCAAAACTATATCTAAACATCTTTCTACGAACTCTCACGCAACTTGTGCAGTATAATCCAAGTCTCTTTCATCCAGTAGTGTGCTCACTTCTTCCCAAACCCAAAGCATTCTCACTCAAACATCAGTATTTAAAACACGTCTGCATAAACAGGCCTTGTCTGGTGTCGCTCTGACGAGTAGTGCAGTTTTCTTCAAAAGTGTGGCGATTGATATACAAATTGTTATTTTGGGGGTGAAGTTAAGAATTCAAATCAAGCTGCACAATACACACAAGACGTGGAGTAACACTTGTGAATATTAAAATATAGGGCTGTGATTTAGTGAATATAGGCTTCATGTTGTGTGAAAGAAGGTGGACAGTAAATATGTATTTAATGAAGGATGTTGATTCGTACAGTTTACAGTCATATATATGTAAATGAACAAAGGGCAAAGTTACTAGTTATAACTCCTAATGCGTCTCAAATATGAGTCTCACACAAAATTGTGTTAATTATATGTAATAAAGAAGTATGAAATCACCTGTAGTGCAAACAAGCAAACCAAACTCCTTTGTACAGGCTGATTAGATTAGAGTAGCATTCCTTTAATTAAGAAACACTTTATTAATTCAAAAAAGTGATGTTTGTGTACATGTAATAGTGGCTCTGGCACTGACCTGTTGCCACGATGATTGATCCCTTATTATACACTTATTGACTAAGATTTAGAGCCACTGAAAGCAGCGTGTGTAAATGACAACATGGTGCTATTGGGTCAAAGGGAGAATAAACCAGTCAGCTGGATTTGTTGGACATGGACGGGGACAAGTAACAGATGCCACACATCTGTCCACGCAGACTCACCACGGACTGCGGGCTCTCCAGATGTTCGCCGGGCTCTGACTTGACACACACTGACGGGACAGCGTCCGGCTTCAGCTGGACCCACAGCACGCCAGTCACCGGGGTCACGTGTTCAAAACAGTCATCGGTAAAGTGCTCATTGCAAACGGTGATGTCGGTCCAGGACGATTCTTTAAGTCGTTGCCCGTTGACTTCGAAAATGAACTGAACCCACTCCAGCCTCCTCTCCGGGTCCTGCGGTAATTTGAAGCGCTGCGCGCCGCGACGCCCCGACTCACATCCGAGGACAGAGCACATCCTGCAGACACGTGCTGTCCCTGCAGCTCTTACCGTGGTGCGCACAGCTTTGTTTACTGCAAGAGAACTGGAAGGTTCTGGGTCGACGTTAACAACAGTGGCAGCTAACGGCTAGCCATTTAGCTAGGGGCTGTGGTGGTAACGGAATGGGCGGGGCTAGGCGGCCGGGGTGGCGTGGTTTGCTACATGGCGTATCCCGGTTTTATGGGATCAGACAGCTGTAGGAGGGGGGAAGTTAAGAGGAACTTTATTTAGATCGCTGGGAGACCGACCCGTGTTTTGCACCTCTGTTGAGAAAGCGTATTAAAGATTTGAGGGGAAGCCGTGACGCTTTCAAATCTGTGAAACCTTTATTTCAGGGGTGCCCACACTTTTTCGGCTTGCGAGCTACTTTTAAAATGACCAAGTCAAAATGGTCTACCTACATTAAAAATGCTGAATATCCATTTATTTATATCTATATTTATTTCTATAAAGCCCAGATGGACGAACAGAGAGCGGAGACAAACAGGAACGCAGCAGCTCTGAAAGAAACACAGGACCTGCTGGAGACTGCGCGTCGCGTTCAGCCTAAAACTACCACCGAGGAGGAGATGGAGGTATTTAACTATTATCCACCAAATAATTCAGTTCACAACAGCTTTAAGGTCTTAAATCCATCAACTGACTAATTCCCAAACTCAGGTGCAGGTGAGATTTGGGTGTGGATATAGTTACCATACAGTACACGGGATGCAACAGATTATCATTTGAATATGAATTTGCAAACATAGACAGCTTAACAATGTTAAAAGGATCATTTGTGGAGTTACTTGCAACAGCTTAAACTTAGAATTAGAATGTTGAGGTGTCATGTTGTGGATGAACCAGGGTGCTCCACAGAGGACAGCTGCACAGCTCTGAGGTAAGCCACAGGCAAAACCACTCGTCAAAATTTCTAGTAAAGTATTTTATTTTATTTTATATGACTGGTCAGGCTTCCTGGGGGGCTCCCTGTTGACGTGAAGGTCTATCATCTGGCAAATTGGCAGATGAACTTGCAAGCTTTTCAACCTCACTTCAGCCGACCAGTCTTCAATGCTACCAGGGGGTAACAATTGTAAAATAGTTAACTATGTAAAATGTTGGGATTTACTCTAACCTCCTACATTAGGACAGTGTTTGTATGCTCTCATTCACTCACAACTCTCTCTCTGGCTCCTACTCTATCAGCTGACAGTGGGCGATTTCGCCACGCCCTCCCTCAGCCAATCATATACAGTTGTGTGAAAAAGTGTTTGCCCCCTTCCTGACTTCTTATTTTTTTGCATGTTTGTCACACTTAAATGTTTCAGATCATCAAACAAATTTAAATATTAGACAAAGATAACACAAGTAAACACAAAATGCAGTTTTTAAATGAAGGTTTTTATTATTAAGGGGAAAAAAAAATCCAAACCTACATGGCCCTGTGTGAAAAAGTGATTGCCCCCTAAACCTAATAACTGGTTGGGCCACCCTTAGCAGCAACAACTGCAATCAAGCGTTTGCAATAACTGGCAATGAGTCTTTTACAGCGCTGTAGAGGAATTTTGGCCCACTCATCTTTGCAGAATTGTTGTAATTCAGCCACATTGGAGGGTTTTTGAGCATGAACCGCCTTTTTAAGGTCATGCCACAGCATCTCAATCGGATTCAGGTCGGGACTTTGACTAGGCCACTCCAAAGTCTTCATTTTGTTTTTCTTAAGCCATTCAGAGGTGGACTTGCTGGTGTGTTTTGGATCATTGTCCTGCTGCAGAACCCAAGTGTGCTTCAGCTTGAGGTCACGAACAGATGGCCGGACATTCTCCTTCAGGATTTGTTGGTAGACAGCAGAATTCATGGTTCCATTTACCACAGCAAGTCTTCCAGGTAATAAATGTATTTGTTCACTGTAAATTAAGGTTCTCCTGATTCAACAACCTGTGTCTCCCTGTATAAGTGTGTCAATTATCTCCCGGTGGCTTCAGTTCTCCTATTTATTATGTTTTTTGTGATGTATGTCATGTTATTTCAAACTAATTTGCAATCATAAGAAGTGTGGTCTTTGTTGGTGAAATGTTTCTTATATACAAAGAACAATTACTTATCGTAAAACTCCAAAAATATAGTAGAGTAACATCTTTTAGGTGTGTTTTCTAGAAACTACAGGTCTGATGAGGAAAGTGGGAACAGGTGTGTAGGTGGGAGGGGATGTCATGTGACCAGGACTGGCAGGTCTGGGAGTGAGCAGGGGCTGGAGAGAAGGACAGAGAGCGAGGACAGGCAAAACCACCAACCCACTACAAAGTCTCTGACCTCCCTCAAACTTCTCAGACAGTTTATTTGATTTGTAAAAGTGGAGAAGGAGATTTCACTGCTTTTACCACATCTAGACCACATTGGCTCTTTCAAAAGACACCATACTTAAACTGTGCAATATTGGACAAGATAATCCCAAATAAACCAGATTATTTAAGGCACCGCTCCGTCTGTGAGATGTGTCTTTAGTCTCTGTGGGATCAAATAATCCAGATTTGATCAGGATAATGTTAGTGGTTTTTAATCTGGCCCTGGTCCAATGTGGTCCATATCTATTTTTGCACTTTCATAAAGAGAGTAAAGGTATCATATATTTGCAGGTCGGTTTAGGACAGCATTGAGGCTTTACCTAAAGTGTTTTACACGTTTTCACATCAAATAGGTGCAAAACAGATACTCGGTCGTTGTAAACTAAAACTAACTTTGCCTCAACTTTCCTATAATGTATCGGAAGTTCACACCCATGTGAGCAACTTGTAAACACAACATTCAAAGTCGGCCCCTCCTTCCATATTTATCTTAAACTAATTATCACACATCTGTCCATCAGAGGACAGGACAACTCCTCGTCGCTCCTCATCCTCATCTTCATCTTCAGTGTGCGTCACTCTGGTTTTGGAACGAGCTTTGTGCGCTTGGCCTTTCGCTTTGCGCTATATCTGCGTTTTTTCTGCGCTGTGTCCGCCATTTCCGTAGCGTTCTCTCCAGTGTGAGCTACTGATATGCAGAACCGGGACGACACCAGCAGATGGCGCTGTTGAACTCAGAAAAATGATCGCCACAAGTTCAATTAAAGGGTCAGTTCACACCAATTACAAACACGTTTCCACATTTGACCCTCGTGGTATTTAACCATGCAGGTGATTTTAGTTTTCTTTACATTGGCTTCATATTCAGTACATAACAGTATTATGAAACATTTACAACAGGAACCTAATATTATCCCACTTTAATCTATTTACACATTTTGAACAGGACTCAGAAGTATCTTGAAATCAAAGTGGCACTATCTCTTAAAAAAAGTGAAAAGCAATTAAGTTTTAAAAGAACTGATCCTCGGATTTCATGTTTAGTTCCTCATAATACTTAAAATGTTAAAATATATCGTAGAAAACATACCACTTCTGCAGAACACTATAAATGGTATTTATCTTAATATAAGTGCCCAACTCAACTTTCCTTTTTTAATCTTCAGTGTCTTCGACTCGATTCTTTCCTGGTCGTCCCTGAGCTGTTACCACGGTTCTGGCTGCTGTCTCTATTTATTTTTTCTGGGTCAAAATCCGGGTCACCATCAGAATGTTTTTCCCTTTCTTCTTGATCTGCTTGTGCTGGATGAGACTTCCTCACTCTTCTCCTCTTCCTGCTCTGTCGGGTCAGAGGACACACCCCTTCGGGTCGGGTCGGGTCGGCTCGCCCTCCGTTGCTCCGTCGCTGCAGCGTGCTCTCTTTGACTTGTGCTCTTGAGCGCCGGCAGACTTACTGTTTGAACGCCGGCCTCGCTTTTCCCCCAAGCTGCCTTCTGAACTTCTCTTCGGCCTTCCTATGGGTCTACCTGTGCTCCTCCTCTTACGTTTTGGCATAGCTTTTCTCTCCTCCTGCACCTCCTCTTCTTTAACGCCAAGCCCACCGCCTGTGCCTCTGTTGTTCTCCTGCGCGTCACTCACAGTTTTGTTTCTTTTACCCTTCATCCGCTCACGTCCAGAGCCCGACGGGTGACGCTGGACGTGACTCTTCAGGCTCACGTTGTGATTGAAGCTTTCGTCACAATGTGGACACTTATACGGTCTCTCCCCCGTGTGCAGGCGCATGTGGGATTTCAGGTGGCCTGCCTGCTTGAAGCCGCGTTGGCACTCTGAACACTTGAACAGCTTCTCTCCTGTGTGCACGGCCAAGTGTCTCTGGAGATAACCTCGTTGAGTAAAGTCAATCCCGCAGATGGGACATTTTAACTGTTGGGGGCCTCTGTGATCCTCCAGGTGGATTCTGCGCTCCTTATTTGTGGCGAAAGTCTCTGGACAGTCAGGACATTCATAGGGTTTTCCTTGAGTTAGGTGACTCTGCTCGTGGGTGATTTTGTCCACCTTTGTTTTGAACGTAACGTGACAGTATTTGCACTGGTACTCATAGTTTTCGTCGTGGATTCTGCTGTGAGATCTAAGGGCTCTCTCGCTGACACATCTCTTACCGCAATTGTTGCAAGAATAGGGTTTAATCTTGTGCTCGCATGTGTGAGGCCTCTGTTTATTGAAAAGCACCCCACACTCTGTGCAGAGCTGGCTGCGTTTGACAGGAGGTAGAGGATCATCATCATCTTCCTCCTCCTCTTCATTTTCCTCCTCAGATTCATCATGAATTTCGCTCACCAGTGAGAGCTCCTCCTCTGGATGCCAATCCTCGTCTGATTCCTCCGGTTCGTCCATGGGATCACTCTCCTCACTAATAGCGGGGGCCATCTCAGACATGTCGGTGATACCGCTGCAGCTGTCGTCTGCTGACAACATCTGTGAAAGATTTAATGACACAAATGGGATTGAGTAAAATGCCACATCTTCAAAGTCCGTACACGATGATTAATACTTCCAAACTAATGCAGGTGTGACTCATCAATTAATTTGGTCCAATTAGTGTAAAATGCCAATCACCACTGCCCAGAGTCCAAGGTGATGTATAAAAATGTCTTGTTTTGTCCAAAACCCAAAGATGTTCAGTTTGCAATGACATTTGAGAAGGAGAAGCAGCAAAACCTCCCATTTGAGAAGCGGGAAGCTGAGAAATCACTGCATGTTTTCACTGCTCGTTAAATGACTTTTGAAGTTATCCAACATATCCAAAATATATAATCATGAAATTGTCACATATTGGTCAGTGTATATTGTGAATGTTTTTAGTGTAAAACCTTCCTTGGATGCACAAACAGACACTGTGTGTTGGGATTGTAGCACGTCTGACTATTAGAGTCCTACCTGCTGGCTCTCTGGAGTTACTTCTTCTACTTCTGTCAGGTGCTGATCCTCAGCTGTTGGGACGCTGGCATCGACTTGGCTTTTCCACTGGTTTCTGTAGTCACACTGAAGACACTGCTGGTTCAAGATCATGAGCAACCCACAGGTGACCTTCTCCATCTGCACCTGAGAGCCACAGGACGGGCACTTGCGGCTGAACAACTGGAGGAGACGCTTTTCATTCACGACGTACTTCCCTTTCACCTGCAGGAGTGCAGCTCTGAAACACGAGTTTCATTAAAATAGTGAGATGCAGCTTTTGAGAAGCTAAACCTGGTGCAATCAAAGTACACTCGTTAAAAGATTATCTTACTTCTCCCTGATCATATCGAGGTTCACAATGTTTTGTAGCATCTGACCATAATCAGACATGAAAGCGTCTGGAACATCACTTGGCGCTGGGCTTTCTTTGGCAGCTGCAAATTCAATTTAACATTTATTATTCACATGAAAACACTACATTGGAATGAATACCTACTCTATTTTTATTAACACATAAACATGTCAAGTTCCTCACTTGTTGAAGGCGGCCCTGATTCATCAGAACAGGAGGATGGACTATCACGTCTCTTCACTTCTTCGTACTGAGAAGAAACCTCTGTGGTTTCTTCAGGCTCCTACACAAGGTAACAGAGGTAAACGCTTGTAGTTGTAGCAAAGACTGTCCGTGTGTTGTAGTAACAACATTTACCAACTGCATTTGATATTTGGTACTATATTTGTTCTGTGGCTCTGGCCTACTTTCTAATGGTGCATTTTAATCATGTATTAATTTAATAAGCAATTAAAACCACTTTGTGAATAAAAACAGTGCGCTACACATAGTGAGAGTTGACTCCGCCCTCTCACCCAGATGCGTTTATCAAAACAAAGCAGAAATAATATAATGGTGTCAACAATAGTCAGTGGCTTTTGATTGATGTGCTGTGTAAGTAAGAAGGTGTAACTTGTGTATTTCTTTGTACTAATTTATGATGTCGAAGCAGAATCATCACATATTCTAGCCTCACCTGGCACGGCTCAGGTTCGTCTGGCTCTGACTTGACGCACAGTGACGGGACAGCGCTGGACTTCAGCTGCACCGTGCCAGTGCCAGTCCGGCTCATAAAACTATCAACTTTGAAATGGTGTCTGCAAACGGTGATATCAGTCCAGGACGATTCTTTGAGTCGTTGCCCGTTGACTTCAAGAAGGAACTGAACCCACTCGAGTCTCCTCTCCGGGTCTTCAGGTAACTTGAAACGTTGCGCACCGTGGCGCTCGGAGTCACATCCGAGCACGGAGCACATCCTGTTCTGTCCTCCAGCTTTAAACGCGGCCGACCGGCTTAATGTTCACGGGGACTGGAAGACAGAGCTCGGTGTGGACTCCTGTCTCAACTTGCCAAACGGCCAGGAGCTAACAGCTAGCCATCTGTTGGCGGGCGGGGTTTGATGGCAGGGTTCGCGTGGTTTGGTATCAGGCGTATCCCGGCCCGTCGCGCTGAGGTAGCTCTGATACAGGAAGTGTTCCCCAATGGCCGCGAGAGCACGCATGCGTTCAGTAGAACGTGCACCCACATTACTACGCCCCGATTTGACCTGAATAAATGTAAAATAACAACAAGTTGATTGTTTCATGTATTGTTTATTAATGTTTTATCAACGACGTATCGCAAAGTAGCACATGGCTCATCTGTCAAAACAAATATAACGTTATGATATAGACATATCAAACATATTATTCACTGCACTGAAGTGAGAATGTCATAGACAAGGTTCTTTTGAAGAACCTTCAATCCTGTTCAAATCTACACCCAACCCTTCTGAGGGTCAATGGTTTCACACATACCATCTACCTGTTAGATGTACACTGAAGTAAATCTAACTCTTCTCAGCAGCACGTGAGACTGACTTTCCAGCTGTTCAAAGATCAATCATCATTACATATGGCAGTATTTTAAGTATTAGAAACTTACAACAGAAAAGAATGCAGGCACTTAACATCAGCCCTGTTTAATATACTTGTATCCACTTTGACCATTTGATCAGGTAACAGGCTTCAATAGTATTTTCAAATCAAAGCGAGAGCTTCTCTTAAAAAAGGTATAGTGTGTAGAATTCAGGGGGATCTATTTTCATGAATAGAATACAATATTAATAAGTACGTTTTCTTAAGTGCAAAATCACCTGAAAATAAGAATCGTTGTGTTTTTATCTTAGAATGATCTGTTTGTATCTACATACAGAGCGTGTCCTCTTCTGGGATCCGGCCGCCATGCTTCTACGGTGGCCCAGATGAACAAACCAGACAATGGCTTTAGAAAACGCCATTAGCGGTTTCACTTTTTTTTTTTTTTTTGTGTGTGTCTGCCACTGTAGTTCTACTACACACTTGCCACATGGGAGCCGTTTCAGTTGTTTGCAATCTGCCTCCTTCAACAGCAGAAGGCGATGAAATGTCACCTACACTCTGGCCTAGGTGTAAGTGCTTTGCCTGTCTTATGAAATCAGTCTAATATCCACTTTATGTGGCTCCTTTCTTTTCACAGTCGTTCAAACCAAATTCATTCCTTCAGCTCAGTTCATTCTAAGAGTCGCCTTTAAGATTTCTCCGTGGTCTTCCCCGACGCTTCCCCGAGCTTTTACCGCTGCTGTACCTCTTTTTCTTTCTTTCTTCTGGGTCAAAATCACAGTCACTATCAGAATTGTTTGGTCTTCCCCTTGATCTCGCTGTGTTCTTGATCGCCTCCTTGCTGCTCTCCTCTTCCGCCGAATCACACGTGCCGCTGTCGCTTGGCTTGGCCTCGCTTTCTTCATCTCTGCATTGTGTTCTCTTTGACTTCCGCGCTTTCGGTTTTCCAGACTTGGCGTTTGAAGACTGGCCTTCCTCCGAGTAGCCTGGTTCATGACGCTTAGGCCTTCCGATGGGCCTACCTGTGCTTTTCTTTTTAGGTCTATATATCATCTCCCTCTGCGCCGCCTCCTCCTCCTCCTCCTCCTCTGTGTCCTGCTCGTCCTCCACATTGTCCAGCCCTGAATCTGCACCTCTTTTGTTCCAATTATCCTGAGCATCACTTGTGTCACTTGCCCTTTTGTTTCTCTTCTCTTTCATCCGCTCACGTTCAGAGCCCGGCGAGTGGTAACGCTGGACGTGACTCTTCAGGCTCACGTTGTGATTGAAGCATTTGTCACAATGCGGACACTTATACGGTCTCTCCCCCGTGTGCAGGCGCATGTGGGATTTCAGGTGGCCTGCCTGCTTGAAGCCGCGTTGACACTCTGAACACTTGAACGGCCTGTCTCCCGTGTGCACGGCCAAGTGTCTCTGGAGAGAAAGGGGCCAGAGGAAGTCAATCCCGCAGATGGGACATTTTAACTGTTGGGGGCCTCTGTGATCCTCCAGGTGGATTCTGCGCTCCTTATTTGTGGCGAAAGTCTCTGGACAGTCGGGACATTTATAGGGTTTTCCTTGAATCACGTGGACCTGCTCGTGGGTGATCTTGTCCACCTTTGTTTTGAACGTAGCGTGACAGTATTTGCACTGGTACTCGTAGTTCTCGTCGTGGATTCTGCTGTGAGTAATCAGGGCTTTCTCGCTGACACATCTCTTACCGCAAATGTTGCAGGAAAAAGGTTTAATCTTGTGCTCACATGTGTGAGGCCTCTGTTTATTGTAAAGCACCCCACACTCTGTGCAGAGCCGACTGTGTTTGACAGGAAGTGGGGGATAATCACCATCTTCTTCTTCTTCATCCACATCCTCTTCGTCGCCGTCGTCTTCTTCTTCGTCGTCTTCCTCTTCGGTTTCCTCCTCAATTTTCTTTATCAGCACTCTAGCATGAGAAGAGCCGTTCGCTTGCTTCCAATCGTCGTCTGAATCCAAGTCCCCCTGACCACTCGATTCATCGATTGGCTCGCTCTGCTCATCAATAACTGCAACAATCTCATGGGCCCCTGTGGCCCCAGTTGGCACAGCCTGTGACACAATGACAAGGAGCGGATGAGTAGAAACGTAAGCCGATACGAGTAGACTGTCTTGAGTATTACAACTGAAACAAGAAGACAGTGCAAGCAGAGAATGTATTATGATTCTAACCAAACAGTTTATAAACCCTCAGCATAAGGCTTAGACAATACTGAAGAGTGTTGTGTGTGTGTGTGTGTGCGTGCGTGCGTGTGTGCGTGCGTGCGTGTGTGTGTGCGTGTGTGTGCGTGTGTGTGTGTGTGGTTTTCTTATCGATACTTTCTGGATACTGCCTAAATAAGTTGTCGTAAGTCTGACTATTAGAGTCCTACCTGCTGGCTCTCTGGAGTTACTTCTTCTACTTCTGTCAGGTGCTGATCCTCAGCTCTTGGGACGCTGGCATCGACTTGGCTTTTCCACTGGTTTCTGTAGTCACACTGAAGACACTGCTGGTTTAAGATCATGAGCAACCCACAGGTGACCTTCTCCATCTGCACCTGAGAGCCACAGGACGGGCACTTGCGGCTGAACAACTTGAGGAGACGTTTTTCATTCACGACGTACTTCCCTTTCATCTGCAGGAGTGCAGCTCTGAAACATCAATGTAGATGACAAATATTAAAACCTCAACCTGATGTGAAAAGTAGCCAAAGCAAGCAGAAAGTTAAGAAAACGTACTTTTGTCCGATCAAATCAAAATCCATATGTTTTGGTTGCATCTGGCCAGATACAAAAGCGTTTGAAGTATCAGTTGAACACGAGACGACCTCAGTCGGGCTTCCTTGGACGGCTGCAAATTAAGTTTAAAGTGTGAGAAAAATCCTTCACTGCATGCGGTTCATTTTCAAAAACACATTTTTTTATAATCAAACACTTTTACCCATTGACTCTTCAGAAAAGGTAGTAGGGCCATCACATGTTTTAAGTTGATCACGCAGACAAGCAACTTCTGTGGTTTCCTCAGGCTCCTACACAGAGTAACAAAAGTAAAAGCTTGTAGTTGTAACCAAAAGCAACAAACAAGTACATTAAAAAATACGTGTGGTCCATGTCAAAGTACCATGTGTTTTGATTTACTTTACTTCCATTCCCAGCTTTGGAAAAAACAAAACAATGTGTTTAATTCTTCTTTTTTTTCAACCACTTGCCCGATCAGGCGTGTGAGTTGCTAGATTTACCAGCCCGGCATGCCACTTAACTTTGGCACTTAACGGGCTAGCCTTACTATTGAGCCCTGCATAGCACTGCTGTGTGGTAGCTAAAATCAATAACACGCCAGAACACAAGACGTGGATCAGCACTAACAGTCAGTTTGCTTTTGAAAAAAAAAAAAACATGTGGATCTGCACCTCCTTCATATTTAGAGTGTAACAGGTTTTAACCGTGTTGCCTCTTATGACTCTTATATTGAGTCTCAAATGTGAGCCCACGAGGGAATAAGTCAGACATGCAATAAACACACGAAGCAACAAATGAAAATGTGTACAGTATAAATGCCTAACCTGTGCATCTCTCTTATTTACGTTTTTGAAATTAAAGACAGAAAAAAATGATGTCACTTGACAATAAAATTGTAATTCTGCTTTGTTAGTGCGTCTTAACTTTATTTGATAAACAAGTAAACACCTACTTGTCTATCTGGGGACAATAGAACAATTCTTTGACTGTAACAGTACTTGCCAATACAATTCAGTTAGTTTAGGCTTCATGTATAAAAACAACCCCAGATCAGATGTATATATACTATAAACTACATATATGTCAAACATTAGGTGATGATGGTTCTGATGTTTAAGTGAGATAGAGACAATGTTTACAGCTGTCAAAGTAGACTCACCACACATGTTGTCTCTTCTGACCGGAGACACAGTGATGGGACAGCACCGGGTCTCAACGTCAGCTGGACCTTACCGGTCACACCCGGATGGTTCCGTGTCCGGCTGTCAAAACAGTCATCTTCAAAGTGTTCGCTGCAAATCGTGATGTCTGTCCAGGACGATTCTTTAAATCGCTGCGTGTTGACTGTGGCGAGAAACTGAACCCACTCCAGCCTCCTCTCCGGGTCCTCCGGTAACTTGAACCGCTGCGTGCCGCGACGCCCCGAGTCACATCCGACGACGGAGCACATCCTGGAGACAGGTCCTGTCCCTGCAGCTCTTACCGTGGTGCGGTCCGGTCCGCGTTTTAAATGTTCATAAAGAGACGGACAGACTTCACTTCCGACCCCAACGACAGCGCTAAGCTACATTAGCTAGCCGTTGTTGCGACGGTAGTGATGGCGACTGGGTGGGCGGGGTGTTATGGAGAGGTACGCGCGGTTTGTTGTCAGGCGTACACCGGTTAGTGTAGCTTCAGTCTACTATGGGAGTCGAGATGTTTTCTATTACTAACAAAACTAAAAAAAAACCTGCAGACCAAAGGTGACAGTTGGCTTGTTCCAGAAAAAAATAAAGTATAAAGTCATTGACACTAACTACAACTATAGCATGACAGCCCTTCACCGTTAAAGAAAAAAGACCCGAGTGAGGCCTTTGTTGTAATAGTCATTATTAAGCAGTATGACACCCTGCAGTGTTTTTGGAGGTGGATTCGATCAGATACGGTGGTGTGTTTGGATCAGCACCATGGTCAGCACATGTCGTAGCTTTTGTTTTATTTTCCCCAAAGTTGTGGGTACACGTGTCCTCGTCACTCTCACGTTACCTACTTGCGGTTGCGGACACACTGACTCCATCAACAGACTCATTATTAGTATAAACGTTCTGCAGTAGTTAATGAACAGAACAGATGAGGGAAAAACTGAATTTAGTCCCATGAAAGTTTCAAAGTGCAGACGCGTTCTGCAGGCCTGGGGATGCTCCAGTAGGTGGTGCTGTTCTACTTCAAAAGGGTTGCCAGTTTCTGACTATTGCGATATTTTACATCACTTCTGAATTTTCATATGGGTAACTGGTAGGATTTCTTTTTCTGTGTACTTTTGTTGATAATACCCTTTATATTACCGTATTTTCCAGACTATGGAATTTGGAATGCATATGTATGTATATTAAAGACTTTCCCACTATAACCTTTATTTAATCAGGGACGTCCCAATAAGATCAAGATTTCATTGGCAAGAGAGACCTTACTACCTATGAAATTAAACAAGATACTGAAGAACAAAAATATATTCGAATATATTCGAATATGTGTGTGTGTGTGTGTGTGTGTGTGTGTGTGTGTGTGTGTGTGTG